AGCGGAGCAGGTAAAACAAAAAGAATCGAGGGGGGAAAAAAGACAAGAGAAATGGGTAAAAAAAGAGAAAAGGAAAAAAATGTCGAAAACCAGTCTTATGCAGTTCGTCCGGGAATATCGAGTCTCTGCGGCCGCTGCGCCCATTGCGAGCAGCACGGCCGCCACCACGAGAGCCACCAGGAGAGCCGCTCCCGTCCTCGGCACTCCCCAGCATCCGTCTCTCTCTTTCTTCCTCTCACTCCCCATCCACCTATCTCTCTCGTTGTCAGAGATCTCCTGCTTCAGCTCAGTGGCACCTCTGCCACCTCCACGGGCCTTCTTCTTCCTCTCTGCGTCTCCCCCTCCCTCTCTCTCTCTCTCTCTCTCTCTCTCTCGCTGGATCTCCTCCTTCATCTTCTCCCACGTCCTTCCTTCTCCGCCTTCCTTTACCTCCTCCTTCTCGAGCATCAGCAGCAGCAACAGCACCTCCTTCTACTTCTCCTCGTTCCGCTTCTTCTTGGAAGTCCACACCAGGTCCTCGGCTCTGCCTTAATTCAGTCCAATGAGAGCCTCCTGCCGATCCCATTCGACGGAATCGGGAATCCTTCGGAATTTGACAATCCGCGGTCCAAGTGATTCGAAAAAGTGACCTCCCGCATCGCGTGACCTATTCACTTGGCCGCTCTCTCTCTCTCTCTCTCTCTCTCTCTCTCTCTCTCTCTCTCGAGCTCCTCTAGCGTGCCTCCCGTGCACGCACTCACGCACTCACGCACTCACGCAACTCACGCACACCTTCCACCGCTCTCGACTTGAGCTAACGAGCACGACTACCCGACTACACGAGTGCGACTCCAATCCTGATACTCGGAGCGGACGAGTCTCTCAGCCGGGAGTGACAGTCATTTTAAAGATTCCAGTTAACAGGAGAATTCTCGCAGGCGAGATCGTCCCGAAAAGTGTGAAGAACCAGAAGAGTGACGCACGCGGGGATTAATGAAATAAGGAGAGTGCCGTGTGCGTGGTGTCCGCTGTTCGCATCTGTGTGAAGACCAGAGAGAAGAAGAGGCCACCGAATCCTTAAGACGAACGAAATGTCCAACGGGCGTTCGACTCGCGACGCGAACCGGTTGCCCGCTCTGAAAATAATTTCGTTGTCGCCGTCGATTCACTAGAAGCTCCGAGGACCCGTGGTGGCCGATTGGGAGAACAGGTAAGCCTTTCCAGTTGAAAATATCGAAGCCCGCGCGCTGCTTTAGTTTAATAGAATAATAAACATCGTCCGCATAAGCATCGAGTCTCTCCGGTTGCCATAGAGACGCCCAACTGCGTCTTCCTCTGGAGGAAGTGACGAGGCCGGATAAAAAAGAATCTTTGAACGCAACGACGCACTTTCGAACGCTCTCGAGATGCTTATGGACGCAAAACGTAGCCGCGCGTAAATCGCGATCAGCGATCGCTCGATGGAGACGCGACTTTCAGTTTACTTTGATACGCGCACACGCGCACGTATACATACGTATTAATCGATCTGGCTCAGTATCATTGTTTCCAAGAAACTCTCAGTAAGATCCATTTATTTCTGGTACGGCGTACTGCTTCTATTTTCTTGGTAAAATATACTCGACGCCCACCGTCCGGTGGGAGCACGCTCGATTTCCGGTTCTTACAAGAATTAACGACGGCCCCTGGACGTTCTATTACCGGCGGCCGATTATTTCGCGCGATACGCGACCCGGTAGTAACTTTAATAAGGGCGCGTGTCGCTTCTTTTATTTCCTCCGGAGGCGCGAATGCGCTTATGCTGCGTGCGACTTGCGATCGGGCCTCTCTACCGGGTGTACCAGTCGATGAGTGCCGATCGACCATGCGAAAAATAATAGCAGCCGCTCGACCCTGTCCTTGACGAAAATTACGCCACTCTCTATTCTCGATAGTTTGTGAAATTCTGCGAAATTCCAGCTGCCTAGGCACGTCGACTTTGCCCGAAGCCGCGACTTCGTGCGATACTTCGACTCGATGGTTCGCGGAGCCCGGAGCCCGGCTCACGCGTCTGCTGCGACCACTATCACTTCCAGCATCGGCAGCCGTTCGAAGACGTGGCAATAGACGTTTGTGCTCTGTAGTGGGCCAATAGTAAGGAGGAATAGTTGGAAATAAGAAGCGTGGAGTCCAGGCGGTTGCCGTTTGTTATTGAAGTTATTCCATCGCCTCGAGGCAGAACAAGGCGAGGCATAGAAGCACACACGATCGACTGGCTGCCTGGCTGCCTGGCTGCCTAGCTGCCTAGCTGACTGTCCCTGGCTGACAAACATCTACATTTCAATCCAGCCGTCATTTTTTTTTTACAAATTTATATAAAACGACAACATACACTCACGAGTATACAGGGTGTCCCCGTACGGATGCTCCTTCGTCAAGTCACTCGAAAGTTCATTCGAGTGAAGTTGCAGCAGTGTGAAGTGGGCCATTCGAAATTTAACGATTAATCCTTTTCACTCGTCGACGTGCCTCCATCTTCTGTCCTTTATTCTTCCTTCTCTGCGTCCCGCGATGGTCACTCTGCCGTGACTGTGGATGCTGCTAACAAGAGGTGGAAGGGTAGTTTGCGGAGAGGGGAGGTCATCGCGTGGAAAGATTGGGGCCCTTTCGTCACGGGGCACGCGCTCCCCGGGGGCCCACCTGCCGATCGGACGCAATAAAACCCCAATGACACCCCCGTGAAACGGCATTCAGTCGACTGCCGGGCTCCCATTCGTTGCCCGGGAGCCGATTAATGGGGAGCGCCGGGAGAAACTCGCTAACTCGTTTACGCGCGTTAATACGAAATTGAATGAAGGCTGATCACTTGAGAATTGCCATAAAACCGGCGCCTCTGAAGTTCGACGCCTTTGTCAAGCGAGACGCCATCGCTCGTGGGCCTCTTAACGCCACTAGGGAGGGTTGTAAAGTTAAAGTGGGGATTCTTCGGGACAAGCTCAGGCATGAAAGTCCAAGTGGTTTTAGTTAGTCGAACGCGTTAAAGTCGTTCGTAAACCAACTACAGGCTCACGTTAGTTTCCGTCTGAATGGAATTTTGGTTTGGTGATTTTTCGAAATCGCACCTTCACATTTGTCCGATACTTTTTCTTGTGATTTTCCTAATGAAACGCCGACACGTCACACGCCGTGTTTATTTTGGATTTCACTTTTGCTCCTCGTACTATTATTCGTTGCGTGCTGTGGTATACTTTCGCGACACCCCGTATGTCGTGGTTTACGCTAATGAAATTCCTTTCCAATAATCATTCACTTTGCATATCATAAAGTTTCAATGAGGCCGATATTAATAGACGGGACTGTTTAATTGACACTTTCAAAAGGTGGAATTTTTGCTTATTGCGAGATCTCGCGTTATGTCTCGACTCTGATTCTTAATGATTTGGCTATTTCGAGCGTCATTCTCGCTGAATTCTCTATGCGCTGCTGCTATTTCGAGTATCTTCTTGTTTTCTGGGCTTTCACCTTAAACACTGTGTCGCTATAACGGTAAAGTTTGGCAGGGCTATTCGATTACGTCATGGCAATTAAAATCTCCGTTCCTGAGTGGCCCAGATATTTTTAAAGAAATTTTCTTAATTTTTCCAATCCTCTTCTCAGGACACGATGCCGTGGTGGAGGCTGATGCTCTTGGCAGGTGCGATGTTCATCCTGCTGCTAGCAAGGACGAATTTCTCACACGCCTGCAACGAAGCAATTTGCGCCAGCGTCGTGAGCAAGTGCATGCTCACGCAAAGCTGCAAGTGCGACCTGGTGACCTGCACCTGCTGCAAGGAATGCTTCTCCTGTCTCAGCTACCTCTACGACGAGTGCTGCTCCTGCGTGGGTACGTAGAAGGTTTAGTTTTTAGAAAAAAAAGTCCAATTTTGGTAATTTACAAACTTTCAAAACGTCCTTTTCACCATTTTTCAGATCTCTGCCCCAAGCCTAACATCACGAATAATCCTCTTAGCAAAAAATCGCACGTTGAGGACTTCAGTGAACCTGTCCCAGGACTCTTCCAGGCTCTCACGGCCGAACCGGATTCTCTTGAGCGCTGGCTGACTTTTACGTTTCCGGTAGATTTTGACATGACGGTTTTCACACCTAAACCTGAGAAGGAGATGAAATATCACATGCGTGAGTATAGATTTTTTTTTTTTTAAATTCGACTACAAATCCAAATTATTTTTTTTGTATAATCTAAAACATTTTTTTATTGGTATACCTGTTTACACGAAGCGATGTTTTTCGTTGACAGAGTCTGTCAAGCAGGAAGTGCATCCTGCAAAGCCAAACGTGATGACAGTAAATTGCACTGTGGCGTACATGGCGCAATGCAATTCCTGGAACAAGTGCAAAGCCTCTTGCCAGAGCATGGGCGCCACGAGCTACAGGTGGTTTCACGACGGCTGTTGCGAGTGCATAGGCGACACCTGTATCAATTACGGCATCAACGAGTCCAGATGCATCCACTGTCCTGTAGATAAGGAAGAGGACGACCTCAAGGATCAATACGATGACTACGGCCAGGACGAGGACGAGCTTACCGAAGACGAACTTGATTGAGGTTTAAAGAAGAATGAAAAAGAAAAATTAAGATCATCCATTTCTTTGAAAATCTCGTGAAGGATTACAGTTTTTTTCATCAGACCCTCGCGCAATCCCGGTGACCGTAGGAATCATTCTATCTTAGTTTCTGTCGCTAGGTCGAGTGTTAATTGACGATCCTTTGTCATTGGGATCAGCTCAGCCAGTGACTGTACTTGTTATTTTAAATCGAGTTAACGTAAAGCGAGCCCTAGTTTGGATCTCTTCTAAAGAGATTCGATTAAGCTATCTGGGCAATCAGTAAAATGATGACTGAAAGTCATGAGAGCTTTCCCTGATGAAAGCTCACAATGAGCTATGTGAAAATACTCGGAAATTCAAATCTGTGAGAAATCCAACAAAACAATGACCTCGATATTGTCAAAGCGTTCAAGCATGTTGAGTTTATTCGAGGTTATGTAGTTTTTTTATACTCGACCGTAAGAAGGTCTCCAAGCATACTCCAACCGTGGTATTAAGGTACTCTTAATCTTCTATTATTTTATTATTGTATTGTGCCATATGAATAAAATTGTATATATTTCAAAATTATCGAGTATTGGTCAAAACAATTATTTTGGTTTTGTGTTTCTCCCTCTTTGTTCGATCTTTTTAATTGTCTTACATGGTGTTTTAAACTGAAAAAGTACTAAAAAAAAAGTACGAACATTTAGATTATTGATTTTCCACGAGGACTCGTAACTTCTGTCGAAACCGGTACAATCACACGCACACCTTACGCTTACAATTCTAAATACGTAAAATCCATAGAATCAATAATGATAATAATATAAACCATAACTAGCCTGCTCTCTTTAATATGCATAGTCAATATGCGTATAATACTAACGCGTGCCGATACGTAACTCTCATAAATATCAAACATCCAACTACGATATGGTATTACCGATATATTCGGTATATTAACAACAATTACTATCATTTACACTGATAGCTAATCTTTTTTTCTTTTCATTTGGTAAAATTGAAATATTCAAATGGATTGGTCCGCGCGAGTTTCGAGATGCTTCTCAAGGAGCATTCGACATTTTGAATGTCAAGTAAATAAAATGAGAAGTATCTTTCAAGACGAGTCTTTCATAAAAAATCTCATCCTCTGAGGAATAGATTAATTGTGGAATCTACGTCGAATGATGCTTATCCTGAATCTCATTGGTTTCCGGAAGTCTGATAAAAGGTAGATCAGCACCACTCCACATTGAATATAATTGTGATCTTGCGCATTCCTAAAAACAGTAGAAAATATTGTCAAATATGGTATACATATGTGTAACAAATTTTTTTTTTGATAATCTCCAATTTATTTTACCCCAGCTCCTGCACTTTCCGAACCCGAACGACTGTGAGCGGAAGTACCCGAATCCGTTGAGGAACTGCTCTTCCTCGACGGCATTGCGTCATTGGTTCCTGGAGAAGAGACAAAACATTTCTCCTCGTGACCCAAATGCATTCGAATCAATTTTAGAATCATACCAGCATCAGATTCTCGAAAGCAACTGTGATCGCTCTGAGAGTGAATGCTGTCCTTGCTGTCACGATGTCCGCTGCCACTGGCGCCACTTTGTTCTGAATGAAAAAAAAATAAAATAAAGTACCTGTCACATTATATTCCATAATAACCACCACAGCATTCGAATCTCACCCGAGTCCCTGTGTTCTCCACTATGAACGCTGTGATCGCTGTCGCGTTGTCCTTAAAAGTAAAACTCGATCATCAATCATTCCTCTTCATCAATCTTATTCTAGTTAACGATGCTCAAGTGATTACCGGAATGATCCGAATGATCGCTGGAGTGAGAATCATGCGGCCAACACCTGGGCGAACCAACACGACGGGTTTCCGGCCAGATCGAGCCCTCGTAATTCCCTTCGTAATTGCACGTCGTTAAAGTAACACCTGGTATATGTTGACTAGGATGATACAGTTGCGTAGAAGGCCTAATACCTGTTTAAGCAGATGGAAACTTACGAAATGACAAATAATATGATGCAACAACAGTTCACCTGGTTTACAGCTAAGCAATTGAATGGCTTCCTGTAGTCCATCCTGACTGGCCATTGCTGAAGACTTCCACACGGAATCCGGAGTGATGGATCTACTACGATCCTGAATAGGAACTCTGAGCTTGCTTCTGATATCCTGCCTAGGCCAGTCAGTGACATGCCTACAGTCCCAGGGCATGGACCACCTTCTCATTGTGTTCTCCGATGATTCGCTACACATCTCAGCGGCTGCCGTTTCCGACCATCTTCTCTGAACCTTTCAATCATTCGTCATCAACACACGTCCAATCGGACTGTTCATAGCCACAAGAGTTACCTGCAGAGGAAACAGTGGATACGGCAAAGGTGATCGCTGACTTTGTGATTGCTGCCTGGATGACGTAGGTGGAGGACTGTACAGTCTTTCAAAACATTGCTGTAGCGCTGCAATATCACACTCTGTGTTTCCGGTCTGAGAACAAGAGCACTCGGCCATACCGCCAAGACACTCGCAGCACGCCACGCAAAATTGATATTGCAAATTGATAAAGGTCAATAGATTGTCACAGAGAATGTCCTGAAAGGAGACAGTGTGTTTAGTATACAAAAAAAAATAGGAATCATGAAATTCTTTATTTTCAATGACTTACGTGTTTGTCGCCATTACTCTCGCGGCTGTTGTGATCTCTCAAGGCTGCCATTACGTGATTCTTGACAGTATTGCTAGCCACGTTGGTCACCCTGGTCAATTCCTCCCAGCCTGCCAAACATTGTCCTGTCAATCGACAGTGGGAGATGCTGTTGTGAGTCGAGAGAAGAGCCTGCAACGATTGAGCGAGTTTTGTTCCAGCTGAGCAGAGACCGTTCAGCATCTGAGAGAACGAGTCATGTAATTAAGTCATTTAATTGTTCTTATTGGAGCTAGTGCGAGAAATTGGATACCCTTGAAGAATTCTTTAATTATGCGATCAGCACGAAGGATTTTGAACGTACCTGAAGATAGGCGAGCCAACTACTTAGGCATTCGCTCACTTCCATTTGACTTTTTGACACTTGATTGTCTCCAGTTTTCGAATCGCCCGCACCTTCCGCCATTTTTCCAAATTCCAAGTAAAACTTTGCTTTATTCCGATTACCTGCAAATTTCAATTCGTAATAGACAATCGGCTGATGATAATTCAATTTACTTTTAATTTATCTGCGATTAAATAAAAACAAACGCGTCACATATGTATACAGTAAACAAATATATTATTGAGTGATAATTATTTTTTGAATATATGGACAATATAATCGTCATTTGATAAACGCTTTATAAACAAAAAACAGGAAACTATAAGACTCTATTTTTATACTAGTGGGTACGAGAATACCGTTTGAGAGATATTCTGTTTTCTCTAGAGTACTCGATAGCAATGGTGTATTGAATTTGGTGAAAACACTCACATTTTCCAGGTGGTGTTACACTGAAGACTTTACACACTGGCCTGGGAAAATTTGATGGAAAAAACGATAGAAAATGTATTGACGTGGGACCATAGCGACCGGCACCATGTTAGTCCCTCGTACATGAGTACCCATGTACCAATGTACATGCTCGCGTACATGCGCACGTAGCTTCTGCCAGGAAGAATTCCATAAAGTGTCGTTCTCTGCCACTAGATGTCAGCACGTGGCGCTTTGAAAGCCACGTTTGAAACCAAGAATTGCGTCAGACCGCAGCAACTAAACTCGCTTAATACTTACTCTCTGGTACCTTTGCTTTGAGAGTAGAATTGTTTTAAAATTTTAAATACCATCACCGCTGAAACGTTCGATAGAGATAAATAATATTAAGAAATAGGAAATTCTTGTAAAATAATATTTTATTAAAACTTGGCTCGATTAGATAATTTACCGTGAATGTCTCTTTCTCTTTGCAAAAGGTTAATGCAATGCACCTTTCTTTTTTTTCCCCTCAGGACTCTGTGTAGAGAGCCAAGATCCTCAATTTTTTTTTTATTCTATCACGTATATTTGCGGATCCTCCAATTCACGTGGGTGCAAATTGCACAAGAGTTGATCGTCCAGTCACACAAGACTTGATCGGTACGGTAGAATAAAATGTGCTAAACAGGACCCAGAAACTTGTGCTTGTTCGGTGAGTTGAGTATTTCCATATAAAAAAAGCCACTAGCAAGGTGGTAAGAGACTCGCCAAGGAATGTACATTGAGAAAGGATTGCAGACAGGAGCCAAGTGACAGAGGAAGGAGAAGTAGTTTACGATAGAAGATCGAAGTAAAATAACTGGAGTGCAATAAAACGGTGCTCCGGTAGCCCCGAACTGAACCTTGCTTAAGGTGAAAGGGGCTTTAGCGTGGCGTGACGTCAGTGGATACGAAAAAAAAACGTGAAAGACACAGCAGAGCATTGACGAAGGGAGGGAGGGAGTGCGGCGATCCCGATTGGCCTCACTCGAAGAAGGACAGCGATAACTTTAACGGTAAACCCAGTGTAACCTTATAGGCCAGACTGAGAGAGACTTGGAAGTCGCGAAGCGGCTCGTCTACCTGGTGCTACTACGCACCAGCCCTGACTCTTTACAAAGCTTTCCTGAACCCACGATCGGACTGTTATCGGTTCGCCACGCTTCATCTCCTCCTAGCGGGGGTTGCCCGTTCGGCAAAATGGCCGCACCCTCCTTCGTTCTGAAACGGACGGGTAAAAGCGCACCTAGAGAAAAATCAAACCTGTTTACGTAGGTAATATTAAATTGTGTTCATGGACAGGTCGATTCACATTAACGGATACAACAATATTATAAATCATACAAGTAGAACAAGCCACGAGGAAGCATTCCTATTTGTCATATTTATGACATGAGAAAATTATAGTAAAAAAAAAACTATTACGTAGATAGCTTTTTGATTTGCATTTAATCTTCAGAAGGCAATCTGCTTCCTAGGTAGATCGACGAATGCACCCACAATGCATTTCTCCAATTATCACGCTGCAATTTGGTCGCGTGGGACAGCTTTCTTATGCTGCGGTTAATTATCTCGGCAAGCCAGCGCTTTTACATTTCTGCGTGTCTAGAAACTCTCCCGGGCGAAGAGTTAACTGAAGATCGATTATGTGCAATATATTTGAAACGATTACCCTACCGTATACGAGGTCAATAAAATAGGCGAGTCCACCCGGTATAACTTGAAGACACCCAGTCGCCATCTGCCATCCTGTATCCACTGTAACTTATACTCGGTATGCAAAGGTGCATTTCGTACACTCTAATCCCGGGCGTAGCGATTACAAGGAATTGTACAAGCAGTAGAATACCGTACAGTCAGGAATAAAAGTTTTCTCGGTTAGAGCAGTCACGAGTGGATGAACTTTCATATCCAAGAACTAAAGAAGCCTAGCCAGAGGCACTCGACGGTCGACCGGTGAAGGGAACGGATCGCAGACGCACAGCGGGAGCCAGACGAAACAAACCACGCCGCATGGCACCAACGTTTCAAGATTCTTGTCAACATTGATCCAATATTCACCCGTACGAAAACCCTGTGTAATTCTTGCAGATGACGTCCTACTAGTTCCCTCGCGTAGTGTCAGTTCCAGGTTGAGTGGTTAGTTTCTAGTGAAAATCAAAAATAAAAGCCCAGTGCTAGAAACGTCATCACCCTTGCTAATTGGATGTGTCAACGTGATGTTTACCGGACTGGAAGTTTCGGGCATGACAACGTGAACTTTACCGTTTGGTGTTTATAGGAGTTATCACGAATCGACTGGAGACTTGAACGACTGTGCAGAACGTCGCGAGTGATCCCGATGATAAATTCTAGAGAGGTTAAACGTCACGTTTTGACGAAAGTGCGCGAAGTGATGTGATTTGAAAATATTTGGATATCGTCGATGAGGAAAAAATTCTTAACGAAGAATCAGCTTGTGAGATTTTGTTCTCTTCGATATAACCAAGTGTATCCTAACAAACCTATAGACTATTCTGTTCACTTGGTTTAAAGCGGACAGAAACTAAGCGAGTTTCGACACTCGGCCGTTTCGTTTGGACACTTCGTGAAAGTCGCCCGGGATTTTCTAGAGAACCGATGCGCGACTCGGACTTGGTGCTTTCGTGATTTTTATCAGTTTAGTGCATCGTCAATGTGATCCGATTACGTCGTTATGACGAAGGATCCTAGGAAAATGTTCCTGGCGACGGTGATGCTCCTCCTAGTAGGAATCCTGGCTGCCGACGCTCAAGGTAACTGTCGAGGATCCGTGAGTCCAGTATGCGAACGCTGAGATCGGCTACAAGGACAACCGGACGGAGATCCTGTATCGATCTCAAGGCGGTCGGGAACTGTTGTTTTGAGAAAAAAGGATTTTATCATTCAAGCCATCTTATTTAGTGAAATTCACTAGGTTCACTTGGTTTCCCCTAGGGGAAGTTGACAGTGATACACACGTCTTACCCAAAACAATGCTGTTTTCACTAGGAAAATAATTCTCCGTTGACGTCCGCCGATTGACTTTTTCGCCAGAACGAAACGTCATTCCTGTTCCGCCCACTTGATCCATGTCCTCGCTCGTTTTCTGGACTACCGAGGTCACCGGGTATATATATAGAAATACCTGGCAATGATATTTGGCCAAACAACGACTCGCCGTTTTACGTTTCCCTAGCCGTCATTCTTTTGTTCTCCACCAGGCGAAGCGACTGCGTCTTCCTCTTGTGAATTTTTTAAAATAACATTCTTCACCGATCAACAAAAATATACCGTAATATACGGTACTCTTCATACTCTACATACATCCAAGTAACGTCGTACAAAGTATATCGTTTAACAGCCACCCCACAGACCCTACCGGAAACAGGGGAAGCGCACCTGTCCCTGCCGAAACTCGATACAGGTCGACCCAATTTTGGTAACTCATTTAATTCGTACCTACAGCTACTTCAAATTATATGAAATAAAGGAAAAAGCTTCCTTCGCAATGCTGATCGTGATATCCTTGAAATCTTAATTTTACCAGCATTATTTGAAATAGAATGTATCCAAGTCTACCTCTCACTCTGCACCTGACCATTGCGCTAGACTTTAACACAGGCTCAGTGAGATTTTGTAGATTCGAAACGCCGTGCGCTTAGTCGAGTTCTTATTTGGCAGAAAGACGCGTAGGAAGACATCGTAATATAAAATGCGTTGCGATTAGTCACAAGGAGTGACGGGTTGCGGGTGAATAGTCTCTGGCCGATTTTCAAATATCGTAGAACATACATAATAGGCATCCAAGACCATGTCGAGCGATACGTAGGAATTTTTTTACACGAACGTTGCTATATGGGCGGATAGCTTAAAATATAAAAAGGCCCTTCATACAGGTCAAGGATTATCTCAAGGAAAATCTCCACACGTAATTTACACTTTTCATACAACACTGAAGCCATAATAATTTTGTTGACAGCAAAAATTACGAGACTAATAATTTTCAAAACTTTTATTCCACGTAGATATCTACAACTCCAAAGGGATATATTTATCCTGTCATAATCCAGAGTACTTAATACTCTCAAATTACCAAACCCTTCTCCAATGGCCAAGAACCTTTGATCGTATTTGATATCTCGTAATTTTCGTACCGCAGACATAAACTAGAGAAAGGTATTAAGACTAAAGAGAAGGGAATTGTATATCCACGAATAGACAGTGCACTCGGAATCCATAGATCCTTAACATTTTTTCTGATCGTCCTTTCAATAGGTACTGGATATAAAAGCCGAGTTCACACGGTTTATTATCGTAGTCCCGTACTGGTCAATCTCATTAAGCAGTGAACCATGTCTGTCTGGATTTTAAGTTTGATCGAGATATCAGAGACAGCAAAAGCTGTGAAGGTAAATCAACACGTGGGCTGGTGCAAAGACAAAATAAATGTGGGAGAGACGTAACATTTGATAGAAAATTCAATATGGCGGCCGACACGGTAAGGAGCGAGAAATAATAACGACTATGGATAATCATGTGGATAACCTTATCGTGGGTGGGGCACTTGAGTGTCTGCAGGTGAAATTCAGATAATGCACTAAGAAAGGCTGAACTGGGTTTCGTCATTTCCAAGAGGTTAAATGCACTAACACTTGAGAATTCCACGTTGCCAACCTTATCCACCTAAATGACAGTTCAGTGTAGGGGCTAGTTGCATCGCGGAAACATACCTGTTCGACATCAAATTTTCCGCATGGCTGACACACACGTTAACTGCACCTCTGCTGCACTAAGTTCGCGATAGATGTTTACATGTTAGCCAAGACAAGAACTCTCCCGTGACTTTCTATGGATTCGTAAGGGACGCCGTTGGGTAACTTTCAGACCGGCCGAACTAGTCCGCACTGAATTCCCTAGTAAATTTATTCCTTCGTCGTTGTTACGTCTTCCTCAAGTAATGTCGTTCAAGTCTTGAAAAGTTGTGTCAACACGCACTTTCGTAAATCTTAATATTTTCTTGAAAGCACTAGAACCGAGAAGCGCGGCACGAAGTTGTGAATCGAGAGAAAAAGAAACATGGCGTAACTCGGCGCGCGCAATACGATACGCCGCCAACTTCAAGACAATAGATTGAGAAACTTGACAGGTTAGACGTTGCCATCTTTCCGCCAATAGAAACGAGCCTGAATTAATATGGAGACTAAAATTGCAGATTCTGACACCCGATTTCAATTTTATGTGAAAATATTTTTTTTTTCACGTGTTAACATATCCATGATCGGTTTACGTATGCAAACTTGCCAAATTACCGTTTTAATCGAGAGCCTCCTGATCGAAAGTAGAATCGTATAAAATCCGTCGACCGGTTACTCTGCCAGTTATAAAGTTCCTTCTCGTAGGGCTTGTTCGTGTTTTTATTCAGTGTACATACATGAATGGATCAACAAAAAAAAAGAGAATTCAGGTAAAAGTAACGATTACGCGTGACATCTTTTTTTTCTTCATACAACGCTCTCACTTTTATCTTCAAAGTCAAACATCGTTCGATTGTTACTCCTGTCTCTTACCTATTGGATAATTTGAAAGTTAACAGTGTGGACCTGTGTACACATAAATCTACCGGGTGTGCTCATTGGACGTGAACGATTGAGGACTTTAACGCTACGCGAGCAAAGGATCCGATAAGTCAATGTAAAAAAAAATTTACAAATACAAAAACCTCCGAGTCACAGTTTTCACAGTAAGTCGCTTTACGCTTTTACTCGCTCTACATATCACGTAATTGTCTCTCACTGTGTAGACAGTAGATAACCAATTGTCGTTACTTCGAAGCGTGACTTTAGTTAATCTTTTTCTCGTTATATCAATATATATCTAACGTGCCTACCTGCAGTATACGTTTACTGTACACAATGCACTATGTGCTATGTACTATACAGTGTTAAGTATAGACAACAAGTTGAGAATTCAAACGATAGATCAGGGCCACTCCTACTTTCTACCTTTTTTCAATCTGTCAAAGAAGGAACGTACTTGCGCGTAGGTTACGTCGGGTACCCAACGTAGAAGAATTCACAGACACGATCTCAACTAGATATTGACCAGGTATACATACCTTACTTATACCAGGTATGTACATCGGATCTCTTTCACCCATTATTATACTTTTTCCTTGACTAAGATCGAATCCTGTCCGACCGATATGCTCGACCAGTCGAAAACTTTCAACGCGACTCTGCGATCCTTACGAAAGAATCTAGAAAGGACAGATTAAAAAAAAAGAATAACATAAAAAAAATGTGTTCTTACGAAACTTGACCAAGGGAAACGATCTAGCATTGAAATTGAGATTTTTTCCTCCCTATCACTACGTGATCACTCGTGTCCATATTGATTTTTGCACACGTGAAAAATGTATTATTTGCAGAAATTGCAAAGACTTTAGATTCGAGTCATTTTCATTTATTGTAAGTGGATGACTACAGATCACCAGATGTTTAAAATACTCCAGGAGTCAAAGACACGTAACTCGAATTACCGGTATCGGAAATGTTAACGATGTGTTCGCGACTCGACTAAAGTCCGGCACTATGTATTCTCGAGGATGCCGCGACGTACCGTTATTTCGGCTTTGGGTTTTGTAACCGAGTGACCCAGACCTACAAGACGCTACGGAACTGCGTGAATGCGATTCCCTCAGGGTATCCAACACCATGGCAGACTGTACCGTAGAGCGTATTGGTAGTATCGATATATCCATATATCGCAACACGTTGATCGATACTGATGTTGGTATCGACTAGAACGATTAAGATTCTACATGATACGCAACGATGGAATTTTATAGTGGAACTGGTCGTAGGCCACGAGGTACAACTTACGCGTTGGTTCCCGGGATCATTGAGGAACGACCTGGTTTTTTAAAATTTGCATCTACCCTGCTAATTGGCCGGGAATGAAATTGTGGGGCAAGTAATTTGCAATAAAGAAATTGGTGGGTGAGCAGCCTAGCGACTAATTGCAATTGCAATTACAGCTCCTGGGAAGTAGGATGATCCCGTGACAGGTCCAGGACGCCGATCTTGCATGCCGGCTCAAGTAAACGATACTCGTAGAACCTTAGGACTTTGAGGTTATCGTTCTATTGAAATTTCGGATAATTTTTTACGATAACGTAAGGAAGCGTTAAACTTTCTATCCCTGAACGTGATCCAAGATATCCTATACTCGGCGACTTTCCCTGTCGGGGAAAAAAAGGCTTCGATCCACATATGTATATGGTCAACGTAGATGCACGCAGGACGCATATGGGATTTTATTAGAAATCCTATGAAATTCGATGCGAGGCATATTTACAGGAATTTCAACATTTTTGAGGTTAAATCGTGGAATAGCACTGTACCTCAGGAAGAACTAGGGGGATCGCGCTAAATAATTGCAAACGAAGGAAAGATAAGAATGGAATAAGAATAGTGGAATAATGTAATTCAAATGGTATTCGCGTGGGATTTACGTGAAGGATCTTAAAGCCTCAACATCGTCGTTCCATATTCCGCCATTTTACGTCGAGCGCGAAACAGCTGTGACTCCACAAATGCATCTGGAATTTATATCAATGCTAACGACTCGAGTTTCCCTCTGGGGTACATGGAAAAAAAAAACTTCTCTTTTTCTTTTTTCAATCCACTAAACGGGAGTCGACTTAAGTCACGTGACCGTTAAGCGGCACACTTCCGGCTGAAACTAATGTCAATGCCACCAACGAAAGATTAACGAACTTATTTGTTCAGACAATTTCATTCGACTCGTTCGAGCGTCATGAATTTTCCAAATTTTTTAAACGATTTTCAAAAATATTAAAATAAAATATCTTCGACCACTTTTCATTGCAGGTCAAAGATGCGGTCATCCTGCAGTTCCCATGAATGCAAGAGTCACACTCACCAGTGAGAAACTAACGGTCGGCACAGTGGCATCTTACACGTGTGATCCTGGCTATGAACTATTTGGGTAAGTAATCGGAATTTGGAATAAAATTTTAAAAAATACAAACCAATAAATATTTCTCGTTTCGCTCGACTCTGATCGTTTTCGTGAAAGCGATAATCGCCAGGAAAACATATATACGTGTATATAGCCAAGTGAGAAGTATCGAACGATAAGTATTGGAGAGTTCGTAATCCAAGCACAAGTGCATGGTAAACGGTGAAACGCGATTTTTTGCCCGGGGTCAATGACTTTCCATAAAGCGTCAAAGAAGAAAAAAGGGGGAAGTATCCTGTAATAGGGTTAGAGCATGTCTTTCGAAAATTCTTGTTGTTCCTGCGAGAAGGAACAACAGGACTACCTGTTCCGTCGACGATACGGCATTCGATCGACATTGCTCGAGTGTAACTGTGCAACTTGTCACAGTCTATTCACTTGGGCGACTGTCAATAGTCGCTCTATAACGTCCTACGTTAAATTGCACTTTTAAGCCTGAACTTTCTCCCATGTTAAGCCGGCTTCCTTTGTATTTTCCCGTTGCGTGTTTTACGGCTCGAAGCTGCTAAACGTGCGAAAGTAAACGATTACCCATGTAAAATTGTCTGTCGCTCTGAGCCATTACGTGGCGGATGCGTTTTAACCGATACTTCGAGACGCACTTTATGGAGGTTATGTTGACGCTGCTGACGTTCTATTTCAGATCCGACAGTCTGACCTGCGACGCTCGAGGGAAGTGGCAGGGCGAGCTTCCGTTCTGCGGTGAGTCTCCGTACTAACTTGACAATTCGATTGTCTCTTTTTATTTTTTAATCAATCGCCCAATTAGGTCCTCGCTTGGTTAACGCGAAACGCTGACGCAATATGCTTGCGTAAACATTCGATGCCTGGAGAAGTCTTGGAGTTCCTGCTCCGGAATGTCGCCCACTTGCGTTATGTCTACAATCCCACTGTATAAATATATATATATATATAGTCTGTCAATCACGTGCTATTCGCGATTTCGTAAGCAACTCGGTATTATTCACGGGAGGATACACCTTTCGTATCATTTCACCTGTCAGACCGATCCTTCCGAAACTCAAGCCTGAGAATACTTGAAATGCAAAAGACTTTCGAGTTACTTTCGCTTGGATCTTCAGGAAAAAAAGTTGATAATTTGCAATCGAAAAGCATAAATTTAAATCTTGCGAATATCAATAGGGTCCCCCTGTCTTTCCCTTATGGCAAGAACTTCCCAGCTGATTTCGAAAGGCTGGCGTAGCGGGTCGCATGCTGTGAAAAGCTCCGTGTTAGAATCTCATCGTTGGGTATCCTTAGGAAGGCGGTATTATTAGGAAACATCCTGTGGGTAATACAGAGCCTGTGACGTATATTGAGTACGAAGCTAAAGTCATTAGCTTAATGTAAATATTAATGAACGATCGAGACTCCGAGGATAAGAAATTAACGAGGGACATTATTCTTGCAGGTACGAATGTCGCTTTTCGAAAACCTGCCAATCAGTCTACCACTGTCAGAGGAGGGGACCCTGCACATGGGAACGACGGGGATTTGGGAACGGAACACGACGGCAGAAGATGCACGGAGACGCAGAGGGAGCCGAGTCCATGGTGGAGAGTGGACCTGCTGAAGTCGTATGCGGTCAAAGTGATCCGCGTGACGACCAGAGGATGCTGTGGTAATTTGATAGATGATATAAATGAGACAACGATCGGCCATGGGTGGATGATTAAAATGTACGAGGGTCATTGGGTGACGATGATTTTCTTTCCTGGACAGGTCATCAACCTCTTCGGGACATTGAATTTCGCGTGGGCAACAGCAGTGTGGATCTTCAGCGGAATCCTCTGTGCACGTGGTTCCCGGGAACTCTCGGTGAGTATTTTAATTAAATTAACCAGCCACCTAATGGGGCATCGCTAATTGCCAAGATTCTTTCGCAGAAGAAGGAATCACCAAGACTTTCACGTGCGCCAGGGCGCTGGTCGGACAGTACGTGTTTCTGCAGCTGGTGAGCGTCGAGGGAAGTCTCAGTCTTTGCGAAGTTGAAGTTTTCGCCACGGATGGTGAGTCCAATTCTTGGATCTTCGAGTGCGCAGTTTTTGGATGAAATTGAAAAAAAAATTTTTTCCCATGGCAAGCTGGATACGAAATTTCTTTGAAATTCTACGAACGCGAGACACTCCGAGTCGCCGTGAAGGAACTTTGCGAATTAAACGATCACACGGCGCATAACCGTTCTCTTACTTCTTTTGGAAGAGAAAACACACATTTTCACTTCGCTTTTGGCGATTCGCTCTGATGGGAATGACCGCACGAGTCTATTCTCTTGGACTGTTTTCTTCTTTTTTCTCGTTTTCGTTCCATCCTGGGACAATCGGCAAACTGCGACCTTCCCATGGGATAGTCGCTCGACGTGGGAAATCTGACAGGCTGAAGGCCCAAAATTGTGAACGTAATTGGGCGTCGTTAAGTCACACCAGAAAGACAGGCAAACGGGATGCTCCAGGACATTTCGAAATTCCTTGTCACTTAGACTCTCACCCCGTGACTAATTCTCAACGGACGAATAGCGTCGCCTAAAATAGTGACTGTAGTTCCTTCTGATGACTATTCAATCTTAACGCTCTACCGACAATGACTTTGACCCTTGACATGCCAATGTTCTTTACCAAGGTTGCACACGGACCTTGCTCAAGACTGTGCACTAAAGTGTTTCTCACGCGATTCGGAGTAATGTATTTTTGATTTAATTATTTTTCAGAATTCTCGATAGACCGCTGCGCCAGTGCCGGCACCCCGGCTGACGCCGATTTAACAGCGTTTAATTCGACCTGCTACGAATTCGTAGTGACCAAAGGAGGATCCTTCCAGGATGCCAGGTCGTACTGCCAGGGACGAGGCGGAGACTTGGTTCACGGCTTCAAGGTACGCAATTGATAAATGAACCCTTGATCGATCTAAAATAACGCAATGACGTACGCAGGGAGTGTCGTCCACCTTCATCCTGAATAATTTGGAGAGGCGAAAGGAGAAACTTAAAACTCAGCTGGTCTGGATAGGCGCGCAAAAGGAGCCACTGATAACGGCGAGAACGTGGCGGTGGGTCGACGGTAAGAGAAAAGAGATTGGCTTACCATACGACAATTAAGGTTTGTCAAATAACGTTTTGGCAGCCCTCTCTCCTCATTCGCTATTCAATAAATTAATATTACGAAGCATGAACCTTCCACGAGATTGCGTGACCGATCGGTACTCGACAGCGTGTAATTTAAAGGCATTAATAAATAGAACGTGAAAGTAAAAGTAATGTTGAAATCGATAGTAAGTTGCACGTCGCAATGTGAGCACGTTCGAGTACGAGTCGCTAATAAAGAAGACAGTCCATTTTTTTCCAACGCAATCCGTACACAAATTACGATACGTTCATTCGATTTGCACCCTTCTAATTAAATCTTTCCCAATAGGCGAAATGGTCCAGAGGCCATCGTGGGGCAAGGATCAGCCGAATAATTACAACGGGGAGCAGAATTGCGTGGTGCTGGACGGGGGTCGGGGGTGGCTGTGGAACGACGTCGGATGCAACTTGGATTATCTTCACTGGATTTGCCAGAGTAGTAAGTGTCCTTGGAACGGATGGAACAAAAGAAAAGAAAGAAGCAAAAAACACAAGGCATTACCGTAAGGAGTGTTTACCACTGTATAGGAGTTTCCTTGAGTAATGTAAAAAAAAAATAATGAACCGACTGATGTAGTATCGTCATGAAAGGAAAAAAGAATAGCAGGAGGCATTAATGGCCCGGGAGTTCTCACGGGGCAATGCCAAACCAGCGGTAAATAGAATAATTGCCGTTTGTGAAAGACAATACGAAGTTACGGCCGTAATAGAGAATTACGGTTCCACCGTCCCCGTACGGTCTGCATGTGCTTAATGACTTTTCTCACAGAACCGTCGAGCTGCGGCAGCCCGGAAAAATCGGAAAACACGACCATTCTGGGAACGAAAAGATCGGTTGGTGCCAGCGTAGACTACACATGTCCAAAGGGATACATGCTGGTGGGATCGAAATCGAGAACGTGCGAATCTTCAGGATTCTGGAGCGGAGTTGCGCCTACTTGCAAGTGTAAGAAGGCCTTAAGGATTGTTATTATGATAGCATTGTTATTATGTTTCTGTGTTGAACGGGGTTCTTTGTTTTTCCAGTCGTTGATTGTGGACCACTTCCAACACTTGAAAATGGTATTGTGACTCTTGAAGAGGATCGCACAACGCATGGTGCAATTGCAGATTACACGTGTAATGAGAATTACACGTTGACCGGTGACACTAAGAGGAAATGTGGAGATGGCGGAAATTGGAGTGGACATCAACCGCAGTGTTTGTGTAAGTAGGCAGTTTTTGGGGGAATTTTGTATAGGGCATATTTTTATATGGAATTTTTGAAAACAGTCGATTGGTGTCCTGAACCTCCTGCTATCAATGGAGGAGTGGTGAGCACCACCGGAAAACGTGCTGGTTCTACGGCTACTTATACCTGTCAGAATGGATTCATTCTATTTGGGGACAACGTGAGTTGGATTTTGAAAATTAACAAGAATCTTATTCGTAGAGGAAAAGGGAAATTTATGAGAAAAATTCTTTGGGTAGGTTCTCAGTTGTGACGTCGGTGGAGAATGGATCGGAAAGGCACCTCAGTGTCGATTCGTTGACTGCGGCGCACCTGCTCAGATCGAATTTGGTTTGGTTAATTTGATTAATGGTACCACGACCGTGGGAAGTATTTTGGAGTATAAATGTCTGGATGACTATTGGCTGGTGGGAGATGCAAAACATGAATGCACGAAGGAAGGCAAATGGAGCCATGAGACTCCATCTTGCGAGTGTGAGTATAAAAATAATGAAGCATGGTGAAATTGATTTTATAAACAATAAGAATAAATTAATGAAAAATTATGCGTGCTTTCAGTGATCACCTGTGAAGAACCTGATGTCCCTACCGGAAGTTACGTTGTGGGATACGATCTAAATGTTCGCAGTGTCATAGAATACCATTGCGACCCCGGATACCTTCTACAGGGCGAACCCAAACATATATGTGGCAAAGAAGGCGAATGGAGTGGTGACGTACCAACCTGCGAATGTAAATGATGTTATTTTTTGTTAATTAACATAGTTTAAAAAATGTACGTCACATGACGTATCCTGGACTCTTATTTCTAGATATCGACTGCGGAAAAGTGCTGCCAGTTTTGAACGGTGCTGTAGAGTACATAAACGGCACTACTCATTTGGGCAGTGAAATATCTTATAGCTGTACGAGAAATTACAGACTGAATGGAGTACCCAAAAGATACTGTCTAGATAACGGACAATGGAGCGACGCGACGCCAAAATGCGAAGGTAAGTATCAGATGTGAAGCAAAAAGAATAAAAAAAGTTTTCCTATTGTAAAAAAATTTTTTACAGAAATCCGTTGTCCGGAGCCGATTCTAGCGGAACATGGAATTCTGTCGGTGACCGGAAACGACCGTATGTACGGGAGAACTCTGATTCGCACTGGAACAGTAGAAAATTCAAACACTGGCGCGACTTCCTATAAAATCGGTGCGCTGGCCAAATACAGGTGCGAGAGGGGTTATAAAGTAGTGGGAGACCCATTGTCAACCTGCGAAGATAATGGGAAATGGAGTGGGGAGGTACCGCAGTGCGTCTGTAAGTTGAAACTCTTCGACAAGCAACCTTTGAGTAACTTTTACTTTCGGATGCAAAGAAAAATAAGAGGAAAAAATTATTCAACAGATGTAGATTGCGGAAAACCAGGACAGATTCAACATGGCCGCTACACTCTGACGTCAAACGCTACGTATTACGGAGCCGCCGCACTGTACGAGTGCGACGGTAATTTCGAACTTGATGGCTTCGCGAGAAGACTGTGTCTAGAGAACGGTACGTGGAGCAGCGAAACTCCAGTCTGTCAGGAAATCAGGTGTAGGGATCCTGAGAAGAGCGGAGTGTTGTCCACCCAGGTGTCGACGCACAGCGTCGGCGGCGTCGCTCACTACAGTTGTCCCAGAGGTCACTATATGGAGGGTAACGAGACAAGAGTGTGTCTTCAAAACAGTTCCTGGAGTGGAGCAGTGCCAGCATGTTTCTGTAAGTAAAAAAAAACACCCTGTAGAAAATATGTATCATAACGTTTGAATTTTTTGTACAACAGCTGTAGACTGCAAGCATCCAGGCCCCATTGAGAATGGCAGAGTAATAGTCGTGAACGGTTCCACAACTTATGGCGGTGCTGCAGAGTACCATTGTTTACCTCAGTTCGAGAGAATTGGTCCATTTTTAAGAAAGTGCATGGACACTGGTGTTTGGAGCGGGGAGGAACCTAGATGCGAAGGTGGGTTGCTAGATTTTCTTATAAAATATAAATGAAAGAGAAAATTACTAATTGGTGAGATTTATTGTTCCAGCAATGTCAAATGAAGTTGCCGAAGCCCAAGGAGTGGGAACGAGCGTTGGAATTGGCGCTGGAGTTATTCTTTTTATTTTACTCATCTTGGGGCTGATATACCTAAGACTGTAAGTATTGCAATATATCCAGAAAATATGAACATTTTTATTAATCAGTATCATTGATTGTTAGACGAAAAGCAACACCAGTGAAGAATACGGAGAACGTACAAGCTGCCGAAAGAAAAGAAGATCAAAACGCAGCAGTGATGTCGTACGCGAGTTTAAATGATGGAACGCCCAATCCAATGTATGAGAATGTTCCTGAGGATGGTCTTTATGATAGTCCATATAGTATATCTGGCAGCACGTATGGGTAAGAACGGTATATCAATGTTTTTTTTTGCCTGAATCGCCTGAAATTGAATTACGATAGAAAAGAGTGCGAAATATGTGCAGGTACGGCACGAATGGAAGAAGGAGCTACGACAGGGCCGGCCATTACGAAGCAGAGCCCGTACCAAGAAATGGGATCACCATAAACGGTGTGTCCGTACGGTAATTCGTAATCCGTACAAGAAATTTTGTAAATCTTGAACTCAACGCTTTAAGTCTCTGAAATAATTTATCGCCCTGTGCAATCACCCAGAAGTAAAAGGAAAACCGTAATTTCTATAAGAATATTTATCGGTCGCTCTTTACTAGGTTAAAGAATAATCCGTTTTGTCCATATGATTATTTATGATCCCGAGGTTACGTCGTTTTAAGCGTGTAAATAGATTTCCAAGAAGGAAATGGAAAGTTTTTAATGGCTGAGTTTTTCCTTTTGACCAGGTCAAGTGTATGATTTCTGTATATATGGTGTTTTTAATTATTTAGCGTTATTATTCGTATGTAGCAATAGAGACGCATCTCTCTAACCTTAAGAATAAATATTCGACTCTCGTGTCCACGTGCGAATAAAGGAATGATCTTGTTTTAATCTCGATAGTCTCATTCGATACCCTAGATCATTATCTTCCCATAATATTCGCGGTCAAGGACGTATTACGAGTCATCCAAGTCCGCGAGGAGTTGCACAGTCAAAAATGGCTGAAAATACTTTCACTGCGCGTTCTTGAAACGGAAAGGTGCTACCATGGACGCTCTTGCAAAACGAGAAATATATCTGTCTCGTATGTGCCCATATAAGGTGATGAATCACCAGAACTCAGATTTCCAAGTATGGTTCTCATGGCTCTTGGTCTATCTTTGATTTCGTGCAGTCTTAAAAGCCAGATGATACTCGATGACCGATTATTTTAATACTACTCAATTATCACTCTCACCAAGAATTTGTGATATTCCTGGAAACTAGCGGATGTCAGTCCATGTAAATTTGGTGTAGAAGGAACTGAAGATTTTGAGATATCGGCTGATAAATAGGGCTGTTCTCGGTACGTCCCAACGGCTGTTTGCACCGCAGTCCCCACCAGATGGCGACAGCAGTTCGGGTGTGGTGAATGTCGACAGTCACAGTAGCGTGCAGTGTGATTCACGGGTGAACACGTACCACGATTTTTCCAGTTTTTTCGTCAGTTTTAAAGTTCTTTATCAGGTAAGTCCATATTGTATTCTCTTATTAAGTGCAGTGCCTTCGATCGATACTACGCTCGACATGGTTTTTACCGAATTCAATACAGTAAATGGAGAAAATAGTAATCTGACAGCAGAGGCCTGCGTGGCTCATCGAGCCGCCATTGTTATGGCCTGTAGACAGTCATTCCGTCTGGCTGGAATTTCCCTTGTCGACAATAAATAAATGTTCGTGACTCTTTAAAAATTAAAAATGATGCTAACACGCAGCTTATTGAAGACTAATCATCTGTTGAGTTTGTCTCTTCTTCAGAATTGTTTTCAAGTCATTTATACTTGCAAGTTAAACAATGGATTTTTTTGTCAAAATCAAGTAACTATCTGTCGCAGTAGATTGCATAGTATAGCATAAGCGATTAAAGTAGCATTAGGTACGTTGACCTATTTTCTATCCCTAGTTCACTGGATATTATCATAGAAAGCTGATTTCAATGTTTCAAGGCAATGACTGATCTTATCTTTGAAAAACAGTTATTTAATGTCATGCTCCATTTGTTACTGAGCTTTTTGAAGCATGCATTCCATACGTTTTTTTATTCATTCCCATTCTATCGGGTGTGCATTTAGTAAAACAAATATTTATTAAAAATTTCTGGAACCTACATAAATAATTCACGAAAGCTGAGATACAGTATTAATCACTCGCAAATTTGATGGTAACTACAGCGGTTGGTGACGTGTGATAAGAGAAAGAAAATCAAAGTTCTTTCGTACACGTGGAGTTTAATGACCCGTTAATTGCATTCTCCCGCGATTCACATTATTTTTATCCTAATTTCAGCTACGTCAGAATTTCCTGCGTTAATTTGCCGAAAATAAACGGATGCCCGTTAACAGCCTCTTGGCAGCAGTAGCCAGTTAGAGTACAAGGCGCTTAAGTCTCTTGAGAATTCGTAAGCCTGCTTATCGGGACAGGAAATCCTCGTCTTCATCTTCTTCTTCTTCTTCTTCTTCTTCTGACTCAACCACCAAAATGACCGAATTCATGACTCGTCGAATATTTCATAGCGCTACTGATCGCGATGTCACGCATGCCAATTGCTAAGAAATAAGAGCGACTCATTGTTCTTTCAGACTTACAAGATGTCCTCCCGCAAAACAGCTGGTCGCCGTGCCACCTCTAAGAAGCGTGCACAACGCGCGACTTCTAATGTTTTTGCCATGTTCGATCAGGCCCAGATAGCCGAATTCAAGGAGGCCTTTAACATGATCGACCAGAACCATGACGGATTCATCGACAAGGAAGATCTTCACGATATGCTTGCTTCGCTAGGTATGCTTGTCTCTAAGGCATTTATTAAAAAAAAAAAAAAAAAAAAAAAAAAAAAAAAAAAAAAAAAAAAAAAAAAAAAAAAAAAAAAAAAAAACTATTCCACCATCATATAACCGTTCCGGATACTGAATAACAACGATAATGGCTCGTTTTCAATATTGATTATCGCAAACGTTGACTTTGTTCTCACAGGTAAAAATCCAACTGATGACTACCTGGAAGGCATGATGAACGAAGCACCGGGTCCCATCAATTTTACCATGTTCTTGACCCTGTTCGGCGAGAGGCTCCAGGGCACGGACCCTGAAGACGTTATCAAGAACGCCTTTGGCTGTTTCGATGAAGAAAACAATGGACATATCAACGAAGAACGTCTTCGCGAGCTTCTCACCACGATGGGCGATCGGTAAATTTTATGAAAATAATTAATTTAATATACATCGTTTTTGGTACTTAATTTAGCGTTATTCAGGTTCACAGACGATGACGTCGATGAGATGTACCGGGAGGCGCCGATCAAGGGATCCATGTTCGATTACCTGGAGTTCACTCGAATTCTGAAACACGGCGCCAAGGATAAGGATGAGCAGTGAGAGCTCCCATAAGGATTTCCCGACGACCTCACATATATTCATTCTGTAGTACAGGCAGTACATGCTTCCAATAACTGTGCGGTATCCGTGTGGTACCGTCTTCAGAATTGTCGCAAGAAATCATGTCCCATCCTTGTCACCACTAAATTTCGAATTCGATTGGGATTTCGCGCGAGCATTTGTTAAATTATTCCAAAAGCATGCGCACCGATGCGCTCTTGCTCTTCCGAGATGCATTTTCAAGATACCCGCCTTTGCATACTGATAACACGTCACTGTATACGTGATATCACTGTACAAGGCAATCCATCCTGAAACTTCATTTTGATATATTTAAAGTGCAGTTAACGAAAAGGAAAAGGTACCTATGTAAGATATATCTATCTACCGTAGTATCGGCATTTGTATTTTAATATAACGATCTAATAGATATGAAAATTTTCAAAAATCTTCTCTATTTATTCTGTACAAGAATAAAGCCTAGTTTACAAGAACTCTTTTGCTCGATTCGTACAATGATTTTACATCTTTCTCAGACAAGTGTCAAATATCAACGACCCAAAACACCATGACGATTTAAAAACGTTTCTTACGTTGCGTTTAAATCCATCAATTCTCTTGTCAAGAAATTTTATCTCCAGGATTAGGTACGTCTATCGTAGCATTGATTACGAATACGTGCCTAAAAAAAAAAAGTTGGACTCCTGGCCGTCCAGTGGGCACAGAAATACCCAGTGGTATCCTGCAGCGCGGTTCAATGTCAAGTAGAATGAAAAGAGAAAGAAAAAAAGAACAAATTCGACGATGATACCGATTTCTTTATTGAGGCTAACCAGAGATCATTCGGGAAATTGAACCTCGATGGTCGAAGGATGATTGGGCGCACCTGAAAGAGGAAGTCGTCGCGCTCCGGTGATTCCTTTGAGAAACTTTTTATCCTTTTTCCATGTGTCCTGCGGTGGACGTTTCCTGATTCGGCGCGGCTTTCGACGCTGATCGTGGATCCGTATCTGGCGAAGGCGTGTCAGGTCAGAAAGATAAAAGAAATTTTTGCTCCACAATATCGAGAAGCTCCTGTTTAATCAACGAACAACGATACTAAACGACAATGGCGTACAGCGGTAAACAGGTTTTTATGCAACGACCATAAATTTTACGAGTACAAAGCACAGGCGATAGTTAGCAGCATTTATCTTTATTACTAATTTCATAGCGGCTACCGACCGATTACCTACCAAGCAAAACTTAAAACACCACTGTACCGTTACTTTGAATAAGGAAATCCCACCAAATCAATAAAAAATTGGAAAGATACATGTCTTTGAAGCGAAGTATGAATTTTCAAATTTGCTTGACTTTACTGATACCTGTGGAAGTCCGTGGAAGCAGACTGTCGCATGCATTGAAAGATATTTCATAACAATCAGGCCTTTATCGTCAACGGATCCATTATTTCTACTCGCTCCTCAAGAGAAATAAAAATGAAAAAAGAACTTGTGGGAAGACCGCAGTCCCGTTAAGGCAACCTTTCCATCTATCAACCAGCGCACTCTAGTGTACAGAAAAATGGCGGGTGGCTTTGCAAATTCAAATTCCAGCCGAAGTACTCTGTCCGTGATAAAATCGATCGTAATTCTTCTTTGGTCAATATTTTCCAGCAGTATCCTGAACTAAGCCCCAGTCTTCGTCCCACAAATTATTCTATTCGGCCAATAAAATATACCGAGTGTCCACGAAGTAACGTACCAGCCAGAATTAAAGAACCCGCCTTCCCAGTCGCGTCGTAACAAACTACAAACGTAGACGATAGTGAAGAATGGTAGAAGCCATCGGGAGGCTTTAATTTCCCGATAAAATTTTCATCGGGATGACAGGGGCGCTCTGCGTTTGCGTCTGCGCACTAGGAGTCTCGTATAACGACAGAGCCGCAGTACCGTTTCCACGGGCTGAGCGATACGCACGTATTCCGTTGGTGCAGTGTTTCCTCTGCTTTCCTTTTTTACCGAAGGTAAATAAAGCAGTCTGAGTGCCCGAGTCTGAGAGACATCCTCGTCGGGGACTGGAGGAGACTCTTACCTGGAGACGTCAGTCTTATCTTTCCGGAAAGGCGAAGCCAAGAGGAAAGAGAAAGAAATACAACTGTTTCCCCTCTGACTGACTGCGCAGCGGTCTTCTCCATGTATACGCGTGTGCTCCAGTGTCTTCTCGACGTCCCGTTGGCGTTGTCGTGAGTTTCCGCCGCAGTGTTTATCTCCCTGCAAAGACGTCAACGCGTACCTTCTTCGCGAAAACTGTTGTCTATCTTCAGAATGCTTCCTGAAGATCTTACTCCTTATCTTACCGAGAATCATTTAATGAATTCTCTTCGTCGTTATACTGACAATAAGAATTCTCACGAGGGATCAATTCGCAGTGGTTCCGCATTGTCTGTGTACGCCGGAATATTCGAAGAACAGAAAATTCTTTGCTTCGTCTCAGCAAATGAGAATGAGGTTACCTCCCGCGCACAGTAACCGACACGACTGTGACTACTGTCATTGCTACCAGAACGATCAGAACGACCAGAACCACCATAGCAACGTCATCGCCATCATCATTATTCAGACACAAAATGATTGCCAGTGATAAAAGTACTCGATAAAAGTATAAGACGTTCCGGTAAAACAGTTGTCTTGATACGTTTTGTGAAAATAGTTTCAAAGCAACGATACCATTGTCAAGAGTGACAGTTCCATCTACCAGCCAATCAGCTGTTTTGTGCGGCCCAAGGCGTTGTTCACAAAAAAGAAATACAGGCATCGGAATAGTCAGTAGATGAGAGCCGAAGCCATGTACCTTCAACGATTTTGGATTTCGAAACGTGAAGCAGCGAACTGCAAGTGTTAAACTAGTTAGCGAGCAATGCGGAACCCAAACGACATACCCTCGGCTAAGAAGTCGTGCTTCGTAAAATCAATTCCATTAGTCGGTAACTACATACTCGGCGACACATTCTCTTGCTGGATCGGAACTCTGAGTCGTGCTTCAATTTACGAGTGAACGTTGTTGTGCTTCAAGGCGAAACCTTTGGGAGTCCAGTTGAAAATTATTGGAATATTTCAGAACCAATATAACGAACAAGAGGAATCGGCCATTGCTACGAGATATCGGATACAGGTATGTCGTAACAATAGAAAATTTAATTATTAATTTCACGCAATACATATCCCCATGTTATCCGCAACCTCAATTTTTTTTCTCCTGTACTATGCAATGTGACGTGATTTTTCGACTCTCGGTCACATAGCGACTCCAGCTTCTGGTTCCCTTCGAGTCGCCACCCTGATCAGAAGCTTCGATCTTCGATCGATTCTTACAGTTACGCCAATGCTCTCGGAAAGATTTGTCATTGTTTAGTTGAGGTCGAGATTCTCGAATCTGCCGCGGAGAGATAGTTTCGACGTACCGTGTTGCTCGGCAGAGGAAAGGTACCCGACGGAGACGTCTCCACGGACCAGTAGAAGTGCGGGTGAGATAGCGACACCCCGCTGAAGAGAGGCAAATGACTGCAGAGCGGGCGGAGGTATAGTTTTGTTACGGTCAGGAACAAGGGAGAACCCCCTGACCCGGGTTATGGATGTGGTGTCCAGGTGTCGCTCGATTCCCCGGGGAAGCGGCCGTAGAGGATCTCCAAGAGTCACGTACCGATTCGCTAAGGAACGCTCTCGATTTAGTTTAAAAGGACGATTCGAGGGAAAGAATAAGAGTTATCGGCTATAAGGATCTCGACCAATGGGAATGATTAGTTCCCGAATTTGACTATTGTCGTAGTCAGTCTGTCTTGGGACACCGATCGGGATGCCTCGAGCTGTCTCGCGCTCCCGTGCTGTCTTTTGCTAGTTGTTCTAGCTGTCTTTCCTATGCGGTATGGGAAGTTCTTGCTTGTGTAGTTCTCGCGTTGCTCTCGCAATATTCAGAAAATCCTATCGACTTTCTGCGTGTGTTTCGGAGGTGCAGTATCGTGCTATAGTGCAGCGCCCACCCGAGTGACTCCTGGACATAATTCTCGGCCTTCACGGATCAGCTGAACCAGCTTCGATGAGGACCCTCAATTTATTAATTGGTGAAGAGATTTCGTTTTTCTAGCTCTGATTTACTCTGTTACGTTCTCGATGAATTGCTCTCTGTTTCCGGCACTTTTTACCTGACGCTTACTCCGTCCCTCTCTACCTCAACCTAGCAACCTGAGCAGCCGTGCATTTCCGTGACCGTTTGCCCCCGCTCGTACATCCAATTGCGTTTGCTGATTTTATGCGTCCCTAAAAATCGACAGGATCCGCGAAGCTACCGTCTCTTCCGATAGGTTTCGTCAGAGTCCTCGTATTGGCGAAGGTTGAGACTGTTCCACCTTCAATTCCCGGTGAAAAAAGAATTGGCCGGCGTTCGCGTGGCACGCGGATGCATGGACTTAGCTCTCGAATATTCCGTTATCGATGTCAAGTTAAGAAAATACGTTACAGTAGATACGGAACAATAGATAATTAATTATGATTACAATAGAGAGTAGATTGGTAGTGGTTTCACATGGAATCACAGCGAGTCTTTTCACTTGAGGATTTCGTCGCACTCAGCGATTACGTGAGTTGGCCAAATAAAGTTTCTACGTAACCGCAGTCGTATTAAATTTCGACGGTATTACTCGAGCCGGTCACCTTGGTTTGGCGTCGTAGTCGGCAGGCAAAAAACGCTCCAATAGCAGCAGCAGTTCGGTTGGCCGCCGCCGAAGGGCCGGGGGCGCGGGGGACAGCCCGTCTACGTGACATTTCATATTTCTGTGAGCCCAACGGATTTTCTTAGCGGTTGCCGTTGGATCGGTGAAGAGTGTTGGAAAATCAGCAGATTTCTCCGTGCTTAACAGTTCTTGTGAAATAAGTAAAGTTCACTCGGTAGACTGTGACATCAATGAAGACGACATACGCTTGGCACGTTCCTTGAGCCAATTAACGATCTTAATTAAATAATCATCTACTGCAGTTCCGAGAGACTCGCGAGAGTGTTTTTAGTGGGAAGTTAACGAGCTTTCTGCTTTCTGTCGTCTGCCGTGGATATCGAGAATCCTACGTGATCTCATTAGTGACGAAAAAGAACAGTTCCACTTCCACTTCCACTTCGTTACTCCTTTTCCACTTCACGAAGTGTGCTTCTGATAGAGACACGGCTATCAATTAACAAGAGTGCATATTACGCAACTTCACGTACAACGGATAATGTCGATAAGTGTTTTTTTATTCTTGTAAATTATAAATATTAAATATTGTTTATAACTTGGTCAAAGTGGGTCGTCCTGGACGAAGGTCGCATAGTAGAATTTTGCATAATTTCTCGCTCGCCCTCGTATGCAATGGCGGAAACGAAGCGGCAACATTTAAATTTATCGCGACGTTACGACGCCGAGGCGGACACAGAGAATTATTTGAATTTCTCTCTGGCGTCTCTCAACTTCTATTTTCTTTTTCTATTCTTCGCCGTTCGCCACTATTATTAACCACCTTTTGCCGCCACGCGGCTGTAGAATCCTCCGACAGGATTTTACCACGAGGTGCTCGGTGACGCGTGCTTTTTATCGTACTGCCAGGATTTTCAAGAGAGCCGCCAGGGGGCGTCGCTCCTTTCTTTTTTCTCGAGCTGCCAGCACTGCATACGCGGAATGCAAGCATAATCCAAGCGCTGTGTAATCCCTCGGCATTCACGTTGGCCATTCTGACATAAGAGATTACATATTTGAATACTATCTTCGCGCTATTCCTGTCTTGCACTTTTTCAATTCTTTCTCGCCCACCATATTCTAATCTCAACCTAGTCTATCTTACCATATCAGAACCAAACATGAATTTTTTGTGAACGCGACATATTTTTTACACGCTGTCACGTACGCCAAGCAATCTGTCCGATTTCTGAGCGAAAAAGAGAATGAAGACAAACGTTTCTTTGATTTTCTACGTCATCGACGTCGCCTTAGAAACAGGGTCGACCTGGCACAATGACTGCAGACTGTTGCTGTATTTTTTAGGAGTGACTGACAAGCTCCTCTTTGACACCAGTACCTAAACAATGGTTAAGTTTTTCACTTCGTGTATCTAGCAGCATCCAAACGACTTTTCCATTCGACGAATCCTAAGACGGTAATGGTAATCGTCCCAGTGATATACATTGTAGATTGTCAAAGAACTACAGACAGAAGTAAAATGAAGTTTGGGAAATTGGTAAGTTCGGCAAATGACGCCTGAAAAATCTGGCCGGTGCCTTTCTGCTGAATAATCCTATACACGATTTTCATACAGGGGCATGTAAAATCGGATACATCGCTATGCTACAAGCACCAAATCGTAATCGGCATTCCAGGGCAACTAGAGCTACGAGGACGAGGGCTTTTTCATAATGGACGCTCGGCCCAGATACCAGATAGCTGAGAAGGCTAATTCGTTTAGGTGTTTTTCCTATCGCCTCCTGCGCGCCTCTATGACGACGACTCCCTTCTGCACGTGACGTTGTATTCGTCGGTGACAACAATTAGTCAGTTATTTAGGGCACAAAGCGTGTCACTGTGTTAACGGCCTGGTAGCGTGACCTTATCAATAAGTCGTAATTCCCTCAAAGGGCTAAATTGTGAAAAAAAAGCTCTGGTCAACGCGCCTAACTTATCCACGTATACGTATACGGCATGTGAAGTATATATTTATATGCGCCTGCACGAAGCTCTCTGGCTGTGCGTGATGGCGGGCATTTCGGCTTCTAAAAGTAAAGTCCGTGCCTAACAGTTGCACGTGAATTCCTATCGCGTGCTGAAGGGTTTTTATGAAGTCGTAAAATGTTTATTCGCTTCGATGCGAATTGCATTTACGCGGAGTGCGTAGAATTTGTCAGATTTACGAAAGCGCTGGTGGAGAGACTGAGCGAGCGATGTTTTTAGGATGAACCTCGAATTCCTCGTATTTTCTAGGCTCGTTGGGAAACACCCCTCGATTTTATCGATGGCAACTGCCCTTGATGCTCTTATCCCGGGGGAATGGAACTTGTGTGATCATCAAAAGGAACTTTAGGGGGGGGGGGTGAACTTTTCCCTTTCGTCCACTGTCTCTGTACTATCTGCGATTGTTCTGTTATCGTCCCCTGGATGGCTCTGTTAATCCGATTAATTTGCTTCGAGTGCATCCTACATTTTCATTGGGCAGCTGATCCCCGGCAGACGACTTCGCGTTGGGCCAATTATCCTAAAGGTGAAGACGGCACGTTTCCACGTATGCAAGGGGTGTCTCCCCGACAAAGGATAGGCTGACATTTAGCACGAACAGTCGTAAAAGTATATTCCTGCAATGTCCTTTGTTTTATACGAAAGTTCGAGACTCCTTGACATTTTTTCTTCCTCGCGTCTTATTCACCTGACATTCACCGAAACTGCGGAAGAATTTCGAACCCCTGTTCATTCATGGGCCACCCTTCGGAATCAGGGGAAGCTTTAAAACACTTTAAACGAGGAGGGTTAAGAAGAAGCACTCTCACGAATTATGGGTCTTGCCTAATTTTCATTTTCACGATAAATCATCTTTCAACCGAAGGTACGTGCACGCTTTGCTCTGGGCTGGCTCGTCCGGTAGACAGGGGCGGGACTCCGTGTAGTCAGGGTCGCTCTCTGACGTCTAGACGCATTACCGAAAATCATAGGCAGGCCCTGGGCCGCCCCGCGCTAACCTAACCTAACCCACGACCCCCGGCTGAAGTTTAGCGACGCTAAAACGGAGTAAAGGGGACTTTAAAGGGGAAATAAAAGGGTGGACAAACCAGATCATCAGCCCAATCTACACGGTGGTCGTATTGTTAGCGTCGATGGAGCAATGATATAAGTCAGACCATGTAAAGAGGTACCACCTCAGCCATCCTGAAGGAGTTGATGCAGGAAGCGAGCGAATAGGCATCGGGAGAAATACGCAAATGAAAGGGAGAACAGAGAGAGAGAGAGAGAGAGAGAGAGAGAGAGAGAGAGAGAGAGAGAGAGAGAGAGAGAGAGAGAG